CGTTGAGTAGCGTCTTTTACCCAGTAGGAAACACGGCGCCTGAGCGGCACAAAGCGTGTGTTTTGAGACATGTTAGGAAACAGCGGAGCACCCTATCACCGTGTGGTACGCTGGAGCCACTATCAGGGACAAACAGAGACTGCAGCGTGTTGTGCGCTCTGCTGAGAAGGTGATTGGCTGCAGACTCCCATCTCTGCAGGACCTGTACACCTCCAGGACACTGGGGCGTGCAGCTCGGATCTCAGCTGACCCTTCTCACCCTGGACACAGTCTGTTTGACCTGCTCCCCTCAGGCAGGAGGCTCCGGTCCATTCGCACCAGAACCTCTCGCCATAAGAACAGTTTCTTCCCCTCTGCTGTTGGACACATGAACAATAACCATATGACTGTCCCCGCCACTAACACATGACCCTACGCTGTGTTCACTGCATCATTCCATGTTTGGCACTGATCACCACCTGCACTCATGTATATATCATGTATATATCTATCCACTTAGCACTTTTAATTCTTATTCTTATTTTTATATTTTTATGACAGTATGTTGCACTGAAGCACCGCAGCAATTTCCTAATGTTGTAAACCTGCTCAACATCTGGCAATAAACCCTTTCTGATTCTGATTCTGATTCTGAATACTTGCAAAGTAGAGATTTCATCAAAGGGAGGAAACACTACGAATATGCAAAAGCATTTGCTCAAAAAACACGCGATTGCTTTCAACGAATGTCGTGTTTTTGATCCGCTCCGGACTAGCGAAGCTCAACCCAGCAGCAGCGGTAGCGTTTCCACGTCCTCTCCCGTTAATACTGCAGGTAACTAATCAATTAGCATTGCATATTATGTTAGCGCGATTTACCTTATTACAAAACCTGCTATTACTGTGCGTTGCATTTAGATAACCATGATGAGAGAGACAGAGTCTGGCTCAGATGCTGGCAGTTCTCGCTGCAGTCTACCGGTAGCGTCTCCTTTCAGGCCAGGATAGACGAATGTCACCGAGCAGTGTCTAAGTTTGTGGTCAAAGGCTTGCACCCATTTGCCACAGCAGATGCCCCCGATTTCACTTTGGTAAGTGAATGTGTTTAATTGTAGGCAGGGACATTACTGGATATTCTTGTGTAATTGCTACAGAATAATTTATGTTAAACTTTGTTATTGCTACAGGAGAATATTTATTTTATTATTTTACATTTACATTTTTTTTCCTGGGGACCCTGTGACACCCCATTGAAGAGCCGTAGGCTGTGGATCTCTTAAGATCTCACTGTTGGGTTTGTAAGGCCATGTTACTCCTAAATTTCTATCTTGTTGTTGTTTTTTTTATATCCTTCACATCTTTCAGAGAAAATAAATCCACTCCATCCATCCATCCATCCATCTTCATCCGCTTTATCCGGGCCGGGTCGCGGGGGCAGCAGCCTAAGCAAAGAGGCCCAGACCTCCCTCTCCCCAGCCACCTCCTCCAGCTTATCCGGGGGAATACCAAGGCGTTCCCAGGCCAGCCGAGAGATATAATCTCTCCAGCGTGTCCTGGGTCTGCCCCGGGGCCTCCTCCCGGTGGGACATGCCTGGAACACCTCACCCAGGAGGCGCCCAGGGGGCATCCTTGTCAGATGCCCGAACCACCTCAGCTGGCTCCTTTCGATGTGGAGCAGCAGCTGCTCTACTCTGAGCCCCTCCCGGATGGCCGAACTTCTCACCCTATCTCTAAGGGAGAGGCCAGCCACCCTTCGGAGGAAGCTCATTTCTGCCGCTTGTATCCGCGATCTCGTTCTTTCGGTCACTACCCACAGCTCGTGGCCATAGGTGAGGGTAGGGACGTAGATCGACCGGTAAATTGAGAGCTTCGCTTTTACACTCAGCTCCCTCTTCACCACGACGGACCGGTGCAGCGTCCGCATTACTGCAGCTGCAGCCCCAATCCGTCTGTCGATCTCCGGCTCCCTTCTCCCATCACTCGCGAACAAGACCCCGAGATACTTGAACTCCTCCACTTGGGGCAGGAACTCATCCCCGACCCGGAGTGGGCACTCCACCCTTTTCCGGCTGAGAACCATGGCCTCAGATTTGGAGGTGCTGATCCTCATTCCCGCTGCTTCACACTCGGCTGCGAACCGTTCCAGTGCGACTGGATGGCTTGGAGGTGCTGATCCTCATTCCCGCTGCTTCACACTCGGCTGCGAACCGCTCCAGTGCGAGCTGGAGGCCCTCACCCGATGAAGCCAACAGAACCACATCATCCGCAAAAATCAGAGATGAGATTCTGAGGCCACCAAAGTGAAAGCCCTCCGCCACTTGGCTGCGCCTAGAAATCCTGTCCATAAAAATTATGAACAGAACCGGAGACAAAGGGCAGCCCTGGCGGAGCCCATCACCCACCGGGAACGAGTCCGACTTATTGCCGGCAATGCGAACCAAGCTCTTGCAACGGTTGTATAGGGATCGAATGGCCCGTAGCAATGGGCCAGACACCCCATACTCCCGCAACACCTCCCACAGGACACCCCGAGGGACACGGTCGAATGCCTTCTCCAAGTCCACAAAACACATGTAGACTGGTTGGGCAAACTCCCATGCACCCTCAAGTATCCTCGAGAGGATAAAGAGCTGGTCCAGTGTTCCGCGACCAGGACGAAAACCGCATTGTTCCTCCTGTATCCGAGGTTCGACTAGCGGACGAACTCTCCTCTCCAGCACCCTGGCATAGACTTTCCCAGGGAGGCTGAGGAGTGTGATCCCCCTGTAGTTGGAACACACCCTCCGGTCCCCCTTCTTAAAGATGGGGACCACCACCCCGGTCTGCCAGTCCACAGGCACTGCCCCTGATCTCCACGCAACATTGCAGAGACGTGTCAACCAAGACAGCCCTACAACGTCCAGCGCCTTCAGGAACTCGGGGCGGACCTCATCAACACCAGGGGCTCTGCCACCAAGGAGTTGTTTAACTGCCTCAGTGACCTCGCCCCCGGAAATTGGCGGGTCATACCCCTCATCCCCAGACTCTGCTTCCTCCTCGGAAGACGTGTCAGTGGGATTAAGGAGGTCCTCGAAGTATTCCTTCCACCGCCCGACAATTTTCTCAGTCGACGTCAACAGCGCTCCGCCAGCACTATACACAGCGCAGGTAGAGCACCGCTTTCCCCTCCTGAGACGCCTGACAATTTTCTCAGTCGACGTCAGCAGCGCTCCGCCAGCACTATACACAGTGCAGGTAGAGCACCGCTTTCCCCTCCTGAGACGCCTGACGGTTTGCCAGAATCTCTTCGAGGCAGTCCGAAAGTCTTTTTCCATGGCCTCTCCGAACTCCTCCCACACCCGAGTTTTTGCTTCAGCCACTGCCCGAGCCGCATTCCGCTTGGCCTGTCGATACCTGTCGGCTGCCTCCGGAGTCCCACAGGCTAACCAAGCCCGATAGGCCTCCTTCTTCAGCCTGGTGGCTCCCTTCACCTCTGGTGTCCACCATTTGGTTCGGGGATTACCACCACGGCAGGCACCAACCACCTTGCGGCCGCAGCTCAATGCAGCAGCTTCGGCAATGGAGACGCTGAACATGGTCCATTCGGACTCAATGTCCCCAGTCTCCCTCGGAATGCTGTTGAAGCTCTGCCGGAGGTGTGCGTTGAAGATCTCGCGGACTGGGGCCTCTGCTAGACGTTCCCAGCACACCCTCACTACGCGTTTAGGTGCACCAGGTCTGTCCAGCGTCCTCCCCCGCCACCTGATCCAACTCACCACCAGGTGGTGATCAGTTGACAGCTCAGCCCCTCTCTTTACCCGAGTGTCCAGAACATATGGTCGCAGGTCTGGTGATACGATTACAAAATCGATCATCGACCTACGGCCTAGAGCATCCTGGTGCCACGTGCACTTATGAACACTCTTATGTTCGAACAGGGTGTTCGTTATGGCCAAACTGTGATTAGCACAGAAGTCCAATAACAAAGCACCGCTCGGGTTCAGATCAGGGAGGCCGTTCCTCCCAATCACGCCCCTCCAGGTCTCGCTGTCGTTACCCACGTGAGCATTGAAGTCTCCCAGCAGGACAACAGAGTCTCCAGGTGGAGCACCTTCCAGCACCCCCCCCAGGGACTCTAAGAAGGCTGGGTACTCCGAACTGCCACCCGGCGCATAAGCGCAGATGACAGTCAGGACCCGTTCCCCGACCCTAAGGCGCAGGGAGCAAACCCTCTCGTCCACCGGGAAAAACCCCAACGTACCGGCAGCAAGCCGAGGGGATATAAGAATACCCACAGCCCGTCTACGTTCAGCTGAACCCAAGCCCGCTTTTAAGTGATTTAATTTATTTTATTTATTTAGGACAGTGCATGTTAATGAACATAAATGTAAAAAAAAAATTACATGAATGTAAACATACCAGATTATAGCCAAGGGCTAATTTCCATCTGTTGTCCTTAAGCATAAAAATAGACATAATAATTCATAAAAATTCATCATTCATTCATAATAAAAACTCCATCACCAAACTTACACATACACACCATTCTGTTCCCAAATAAAACATTAAAACTATACAACTCATACATGATCACACACTTGATTTGTCCATAACCAGTTTTTAACCTTTGCCTTAAACAAATTGAATGTCGAGCATTCTCTAATGGGTTGAGGAAGACTGTTCCACAGATGGCCTCCCTGGACAGAGAGGACGTTCTGCCCAAATGCTGTCCGTCTGTGGGGTATAAACAAGTCTCCTCGGATTGTAGCTCGAGTGGTCCTGTCTGAGCTTTCTTTATGCCTAATGAACTGCTTTAGTGGTGGTGGAGCAAGGGAGTGTAAGACTTTATATATTAAACTCACTCTTTTAAGTTTCACTAAGTTATTGAAGTTCAGTAATTTATGTTTTTTAACACATGACAGTGGTGGTGGGAAGTCGGTTTTTTGTCAAGTAGTTTTAAACTTCTTTTATAAATGTTTTCAATAGTTTTAAGTGTTGTTGGACAAGCAAGTGACCAGGACGTCAACAGATTCCCAGCTCTAGGATCAGGCCGGCGATGACTCCGTGTTTCTGCTGTTCGTTCAGCAGCTTAAGTTCACATTAGCTCCAGAAGCATGCTGTGTGTTTGCCCTGTGTAACTGAAACCTGCTGTTGTGCTTCAGGCCTTCCTCCCTCGTCCATGCTCAGCTACCAACAGCAGCAGCACTTGCTGCGCAGAGGCACCGCCCCCATGGGCCAGGTCAGTGTTTTTCCCTTCATGTGCAGTATCAGACTTTGCAGCGTGGCAAAATGTTTTTGAGTAAATTAAATTGAATCGTGCACCAAAAATCTCCGAACAGGTGGATTTAAGATTTCCTGTCCTGTGTTTAGTCTGATCACTGCAGCAGAATCGGTTTAAGCCTGATGTGCATGTTTGTTTCTTGAATCTGTCTCTCATAGATGAGCTCTCACAGTATTTGGGAGAACAGCATGGGCTTTGGCCCCGTGAGCGTCGCCCCGGGATTGCTCACACACATGGAGGTTCAACTTTACTCTTCTTATTGGATAGCTAACCGTTCAGTTTAGGTGTTAATTCTAGGATCAAACATAAAGAAATGAACGACTAAATACATTAATGTAGTTATTGTTCATATTTTTGCTCATATTTCTGTTTTCAGGATAATCCACTCATGTCGATAATCAAAGAGGTGGGCCATCCTAAACGAGCTCCTCAGGGCAGGAACGATGAGGATCTGTCAGAGAGGGCTCCTCCTCCACGCTCTTCTTCCCCTGTGATTGGCTCCCCTCCGGTGAGGGCGGTGCCAATCGGGACTCCACCCAAACAGCCGATGAGCCACGCGCTGAATCACCAGGTCAGAAACAGAAAGTCTTCCTGCTGGGTGTCCCTCCCTGCTGTGAACACGTGTTTCTGTCGCAGGATTTAAACGTTGCCTGGTGACACCTGCGGGTGTACTCTTATTTCTATGCTGTAGTCCTTGAAGGGATAATGTTGAGGACACTCGTATAAGATGTATCCGTCATAGAGTATCGTTACGAATTTATTATAACTAGAGGACCCGCGTTAATTTCGAGAGCCTCTCGGCTACTGGCCATGGTGCGCAGCGAATACAGATTGGTGCCTTTTAAGGTCTCACCGCAAGCCAGCACGGCAGGCCGTCCGGCTGCGGTGTAAAGGCCACCGTCTATGTTCCCCGCCTCGTGTCTGTGTGTGTTTGAGTGTAGTCCACCAATCTGTTCTCACATGCGGGTCCAAGCGTGAAGTGAATTAGCAACGTTCGAGAGTCGCGGGCGTATCGTATGTATTGAAACCAATACCATACCGACGCCCGCTGCCTTATCCCCGAGGTCTGTCTCTCCACAACCCTCCTCACTGTTTTTGAGGTGTTCACAATTAAGGACAAAAGACGAGATAGTGCTATTGGATAGGATTATACCACAGTTTCCTTAACCCACAAAACTAATCAACGGCTGCCCTTTAGTGTTTCTCCCCTTTTTTAAAAAAACACCAAAAAAACCACGGATGCTGAACCGAATCTGATATAGAGTCAAAGAATCCAGATAACTACCAGTGACGAAGCTCTCGAAAGGACGGTTCGGCGTAAATGCTCAGGCAATACAGAAAAGCTGTGGAGAATTTACAAGGCCACAATAGAAGAGAGAGTACACCTGTTAAAATCCACAGTGATTTTGAATTTTCATAACCATAATCAATTTGTGGTTTCACCCTTTAACGCCACCAATAAATGGAACAGAGTAGAGAGAAGTGCCTAAATAGCACTGTTGCTGAACTAGTTATGCTGGTGGTCGAGACTATCTAAATAGGAGCCTCTGCAGATGTGCGATTTGGGTGGGTGACCCTTTAACAGACCTGATCAAAGGTGGTTCAAGCATGGCGGAGAGCACATTGCAACATTGGAGTTTTGATAAAGGCTAGCGCCTACACCGGGTAGGACAGCTGTGTGATTTTTGGAGGTGATTATCCACAACAATGGAAGATGAGATCGTTTTGCTATATCCTCTTTGTGTATTGTTAGACTAAAATCAGAGATGACGCGAAGAGCGTTTAATCTGTGTGGGGCTGATGACCCAAAGCGCTCGTTTGCATTATGCGTAAGGTGAACCTGCTGGGGCGGGTAGAGCTCGGGTCAACCCCCGGGTTCAAGGTTCCACACCTAGAGAGGCTGGCTGGTCGGAGGAAATAGACACATGACTTGACTGATGACCTGTGTGGATATCAGTCCGCCTTCGGCATGCGTGTGTGTTACGTCACCCCCACCAAAGGTCGCCAGAGAAAGGACCCGTCTCACATGTTAAAGGCGGGGAATAAATTTAACTCATTTTTAGACCCCGCGGTCCTTAGCTCTCTACCAGTGCCGGCCCCCAGCTGCCTTTCACAACGCATTGTATACTTTATAAAGTGTTTCCTCACTTAGAATAAACTCTCAAAGCAATCGGAACATGTCAATTATGTGACCTCCATCAACCGTGGTTTTTAACTTTCTGGTATAACCGTCACTGGTGTTTGTGTGATTGTCAGAGATTACTCTCCTCCTTTTGTCTTTCGGGCTGTGTGCCCCGTTATTTTTTCGTTCCTGAGTAAATCGGCCCTCATTGATGGGGGGCTTTTTTTAGTATTAAACATGTTACTGTTTGGCAGTAATTCGCCTGGCTGAAATTAGTTATAGTTTTTACACAGCTGAATAAACGTCAAGCAGACAGCTGATTAAACAGAAGTGTGAGATGCTCGAGAATTTACTCCAGTGTCCTGTCCTATTTTAGATAGCAAGGAGTTTATTAAACTCACCGAAACAATCTGCAAATTTCATTAAAATTTAATAAACTATCATCTTGTCTTTATTGTTAGTTAGCACATACCTTAACACTTAAAGCTGTAAGCTAATGATAGTTATATAAGAGCAGATGCTGCTGGTGCAATAAGCTGTACGTTTTACGTCCAATGGATGATGATCTGATTAGTCGACTAATCAAAAATAATCCTAGTCGACTATCAAAAATAATCGTTGCAGTGTTCTCTACCCGGTTTGCGAGGGTTGGTCGATTTCTCACTCGACCGATGCAGTTATGGGGATTCAAGTTATTTGATTTCAAATTGCTCACAGGTTGTGCTTGCAGGACGTGGAATTGAATGTGAATGGTTTGTCGGTCGTCTGTGCTGTTTGCCCTGTGCGAAACCTGCATGTCGCGTTGTTGACGCCGCGCCTTCGGTCACCGCCCCTATAAATTCAGAGCCACACCAGATAGTGCGACCCGTGAATATGGGTATAATGTGTCTACCAGGGCTCTAGTAACTCTAAAAATGTGGCATCTGCACTGTTCGGCAGCCTGACCCTTGAGAAAGGAGAGCGAAATAATGTGTGTATTGTGCGTAAAAGTGGAGTTTTTTCTGTCATCGATAACACGAGGAGAAATGAAGTCCTACCTATGTTATGTTATTCTATAACCATATAATAAATAGAGAGATAGGTTGTAGGGGCTCGCGGTTGGGTAGTTTTGGATAAACTGTGGGTGTTTCTACTCTCTTTGAAGGCTTTGCATTGGAATGCTAGCTAAACCACCGCTTTGTCTCCAATCTAATAGCTGAAACCACCCAGGGGTGCCACCAAAACAAGGTTGGCTATGTTTTGCTTATAAAGAGAATCATCGATGCTTGAACATGAAGATCCTGAGTCGGAGGAAATGCTCTCCGCTTCCTCAGTGTTCTCACACAAAATCCCCTGACAGCACAGTGGGGTAGCTTCCCATTGGCTTATCTACCGTTGTGAGTCACAGCGGGTAGGACTAAGAGTTATGTCCCTGACGAAGCGGGCGGAAGCCGCATCACCCTCCCTCGGTGCGTTTGTGCCGGCAAGGTGGTCGTCGAAGGTTCAAGGCCCTCCCGTGCGTTGCATTATGCGAGAGAGACATGAAAAAGGCCCCTCCTCCTCGGCACGGGAATCGACCTCTGGTGAACTATACGGCCCGTGTCTTCGCTGGCTGGTAATTAAATAATCCACCATTCGTCTTCAACGTTTATCACGGGCCTAAGACTACCAGTGAATAGGTTATAAGCTGACCAAACCCTAGGCCATTGACCCACACGCCCAGTCCGGCACAACACCACTCACTTCACTCACACGCCGCGCATGCCTCACCCAGCGCCATAGCAGGAGCCCTAGGAGGGGTAGAGCAAAAGGCACCATAGACAGCCCGCAAGAGAGAAAAGAGAAAGAGAAACACTAGCTGGGGCTCAACCTTGGTTCGAATGTGTAGGGAAAAACTTCGACGACCGCCAGGAGGACCGTCAATAGAACTCGCCACAGGACGTTGCTTGCCGTCATTGGGTGCAGTTAACGGACCGAGGGAGCGCAAGGCCCCGGATGGACAGGAGACAGACGAAGCGCAAAGACGAACGCATACCCAGCCACCAGACAGAACGCTGAAACAGATGAGAGATCCACCAGAACGAAAGAAAAGGAGTGGAGTGAACGAAAAGAGCACACGCAGGAGAATGACATGCAAGCTGCCACAAGCAGTCACATACCCTTACCTGGGATGGAGCTAACGTGCGAGACGGAACAAAGGGACCTAAGAGGGAACTGAACTCAATCTACGTTGGAGCAGACCATGCAGGATTAAGTGTGGGTTTTTCAACAGGAATCATGATCTTAAAAAATAGGGAAACTATTTAAGGTAAAAAAAGACATAAAACCCAACACCCAACACGAGTACAGTTGGTGAATGTTGCTAAACTTTATTGATGACAGTAGTGTAGTTAGTGAGTGGTTTTTTCGTGTTTTGAGGTGTAGCAGGCTAGCTGTTGTGCGCCGTGTTTGTAGGCTGTTGTTAAGATAAGTTGGTTGTGTGGCATGTTGTGCTCTTTGCATTTTTCGTTGTGTTTGGATGGCTGTAGGAAGCATATTGAAACACATCAATTGTACAGAATACAACACAGGAGCAAGAAAAAAGCCAGCACACAGTCAGGAGAAAGACAAACAACCAGAATCAAAAAAGCGAACACCAACACAAAACGACTAACAAATACAATAAACCTTCAAGGTGCAGCACAAAGTGGAAAGCACACAACATCGACAAAAGGTTAACACCAACAACGGCGACATATCTGAACGCGATGTAACGAACATGCAAAACGACAGCTGACTTGAATCACGAAGCCTCCACTCCTGAACCGCAGGGTCTGTCTGCAGTTCAGTTCGCAGGCTCTCTGGGTAAACTGACCGTCTCCAGCGTCAACAACCCCCGCAAGATGATCGACGCCGTGGTGACGACTCGCTCAGACGACGAGGTTTTTATTTCTTTCCACATGCAAACGTTTTTATGACGACGCTGCTTCAGCTGCACTTTATTCGGAAAGTTTGCTTTATAAACAAAAATGGAGGCTCGCATGAGAGCGGGTTGTTTCTTTAGACCAGGTGACGATCAGGTCGTACAAGAACAAAACACGTTGTGAGACCATGAAGCAGCTGCAGGATCTCCACAACTTCAAATGCTCTGAAACTTGGTGAAAGGTTTGATCACATCAGAAAGCTGCCTCGTGATCGAATCAGAAAAACAGAATTCTGATTAAGAGTCGGCTGGAAATGAGAATAAATGAGACGTTATGGCACTAAATACATCAGTGTTTCCCTCACATGTGTGTTTGTATGTCGCTCTGAGAGAAACCTGAGTCTTTGCCGTTAGCAGACGCTGCTAACAGCCTGCGGCCCAGCAGCTCCACTCGAGGCTGGACGTACGGCACAGCTGGCAGTCTGTGTTACGGTGGATCGGTGTCCCTGTGAAACGAGCTTCAAATTGTCCTGAATCCACTTTATCCACCAAACCCAGCAGGCAGATAGAAACATGTGACACAGCAGCTGTTTGGTTCTGCTTTTCTGTTTTATCAGGTTTCAGCTCCCGTTGATCTTTT